AACCCTTCCCTAGGATCAATCGGGGATCACCAGTGGACCTCTGACAGCTACGTGGCTCCCGGTAGGCACCGAAAGGTGCACTGGGATGCTGCGAAGAGGGTACTGCGCTACTTGTGCAGTACGTCAGGCATGGGGCTAGTGCTTGGAGGACGGGGTCCAGTTGTCCTCACCGGTCACGCAGACGCTTCCTGGGTTGACGACTCAGCTACGCAGCGGTCGTCACACTGTTACAACTTCAGCCTCGGTTCCGGCTCTGTTTCGTGGCGTTCTACCCGCTCGTCTTCGGTTCTCAGTTCCAGTTGTGAGGCTGAGATCTACGCCGGGACCATGGCTGCACAGGAGCTACACTGGCTCACCTACCTGCTGACGGACTTGGGAGAGCAGCCTCGTTCGCCTCCAGTTCTGTACGTAGACAACAAGGCCATGATTGCCTTGTGACAGGAGCACAGACTGGAGCACAGAACGAAGCACATCGCTCTGCGATACTTCCTTGCTCGAGTGGCCTGCTTCGTCTTGCGTACGTGGCCACTAGGGCCAACACTGCTGATGTATTCACCAAGGCACTTCCGCCTGGTGATCATCAGCGCTTCTCTACTGTGTTAGGCCTTGTGCCTACTTTGCCTCACTTGCTTACTGCTTGACTCTGCTTGTACTATGATCTATATATATACCTGCATGCTTGCACTTGCTAGGATATGATCACTGTATTGTTTGTTCTCTTTATATCACTCTGCATGTGAACTGGCCTTGTGGCCCTTTGCTTGTGCTCGGACTGTGTGGTGACCTTCAGCTGCTCGGAATATAGTTTGTATTTTCGCGTCGGTGAACATTGTCAGAGGTCCACTGGAGATCACCGATTGATCCTAGGGAAGGGTTACAGGCTCGTTGTCCTGGGGGGTTATGGGCGCACTGACCCGCTACTTAACAAGCCCTTTTATCCCAGTGGTCTAGTGACTGGGATTCTGACATGATATCAGAGCGAAGGTCTCGGGTTCGAATCCCAGTGTGTGCACTTCGGGCATCCCAGTGCGGGGGGGTGTCAGATGTCCACTGGAGATCCCCGATTGATCCTAGGGAAAGGTTACAGGCTCGTTGTCCTTATGAGTTATGGGCGCACTGACCCGCTACTTAACAAGCCCTTTTATCCCAGTGGTCTAGTGGCTGGGATTCTGACAAACATATTAACAGTTACGGGCAAAGGCCAAGGCAAAACTAGAAATATGTGTTTTGGAGGAGAGTGTACTCGAGTTTGAACAAAACTAAGTAACAATGTCGGCCTACTTCTAAGTTGTACCAGCGAACGTGTAGTCTACATTACGACAATGATCCTGCCACCACACACAAGCTGAACTTGTGCAGTTCAATAAGTAGGTAGAAGGATGTGACGGGCAGCGGAACATGTAGAGGGGAGGGGTGGGGGGTGGGGGAGGGGGGATGGGGGGGTTTTATAATCATTATTTATATACACCCTATTTTCTGCTACAATGAACCGCGTAAGAACGATACTGTTTCTTGGCAGTATTCGGAATTTTGCCGATACAGAAACCAGTGAACTGTCCCTAGCATGCTGGTGTTATATGGGGAGGTTCCAGAATGCAGTTGTCATAGATATACTAGCAGCTTTTCCAAGATGTCTAGGAACCTTTCTAAAACGTAACCCATCACACTGGATCGCGCTGGTTCAAAGTTCACTATAACGCGGGTGATTGTGCGCTTCTGTACGGGATGGGTTTCTAGTAACGGGGTATCCAGTATACCGGAATCCACAATAGCGAAAAACATGTTGTAGAGGGGAAGGGCCAAATAGAGCCTAAAACGATTAAGGGGAAGTGTGCAAAGAAACCCTTCACCGTCACGGGTGCCCAGCGAACCAATAACTTTGGTCGAGGTGCTTTGAACGTAACTCATAATGTTAAGGGTATTAAGGGCGAATGCCTTTGAATCGACAGTCTTGCAGGGGGACCAATTTTGGCCGGTTACTTTGATGAGTCATACAGCAAAATTCTCTATGTAAACGGTCGCATGTTACGAAATGGGCAGTTTGTAACGTCTTGAATTCAGGTCTTAAATTTAGAGGAACAACCTCATGGAAATTTTGTTGCAGGGAGGTCAGAATGTATACCCCGGAAAACGAGTTTTTTTCAGAAAAACTACCCGAGTTTCATCATCCACGGCTGTCGCCGAATCATGATGTGCTGGCACCGACATTCGATGCTCCCACTCAGCGCACCAGAAAATGCAGTGTGCACAGTGTGTTGTGCTGCTGATCTGACACCAGCTGCTGTGGTAATTTGGGAATGCCAGCTGCAGTTATGCGCGAACCTCCCCCGACCAGAAACAGCTGTTGCTGTGGAAGCTCTGCCTCGGTTTCGGGCAGGTCGTTTGAACGTTTGGACTGCCCATTAACTACTCTGCTATCCCCGATGAGTGTCATCCAAAGTGTTATGGCTTGGCGCGACCAAACAGATACTGGTGTGGTGAGTGCCGGAAAAACCAGTGACCCAGCTCCATACTTGGGGTTCAGTACCGAACTCCCCCTACCCCAACCGGTATTTTCAGAAGCATGCTTTATTGCCTCGGGTACTGAAGGATTAGAATTGCTCTCCTAAACTCCACCTTCCTTGTCCAGCCGACAAAAAAAGAGCAATTCCCAAGGCAGCCAACCCACCCAAGCCAGTCATCCTAATTCCACTCGCCCTCTTCCCCTACCCTCCCCAACCGCTCTTGACTTCCCCCCACTGCCGCGGACCGCTGACTCTCCCCCAGGCAGCCCTGCCCCTCACTCTGACACCACACCAGCTTCATTTCACAACCTCTTGCGGGACTCCAGAAACGACAATGTGCTGTCATGTTTAGGGCGCTCCCCTGAACCTCGTCTACACTTCATGAATTGTAGATATGTTTGGGCTGGTAAACCGTTACGAATTGCACGTTATCGTGCTTGACCGCTTGAACTGAACATAAAAGTAGGGTTACACAATGCTGCCATTGTAGGAAGAGACCTATTTTCTATTCCACCCTTTTCAAGTGCACATATTTCTCATCCTGCTTGCTAAGATCAACCTCCCCCGCATAGTGAAGCTTGTGAGGGCGAGTGGGTTTACCACGCCACGGATTCTCCAAGCAACCGTCCGTTTGCACAAGGTCCTCTAAAAGCTTACACTAGAAGCTTTGGTGGAAGCAGCCAAGGTCCTCAAAAAGCTTACACTAGAAGCTTTGGTGGAAGCAGCCAAGGTCCTCAAAAAGCTTACACTAGAAGCTTTGGTGGAAGCAGCCATAGCGTTTCTTTTTCATAGACTGTACGCTTGTCGCGTTCTGGCACACCGAAGAGCTGGGAATGTGAAAACAGCTGACTGACACACAGCGTGATACACTGTTCAAGTTCTGTGCCATCCATGGAATGATGCGGGTGTTTCATTCGCCACAAGCTCCTACTGTACTTCTCTAAGATACGAGGAAATGACAGAGCGCCGTGTTTTCTAGTTTCTGATTCCTATGAGCAGTGGTTTTGACAGCGCATTGCTTTGCGCTCGCGTCCAATACCTTGGGGCATAGTATTTCTCTGTTTCTCCTTTTGAGTCCACAAATACAGATTTGTTTGAAGTTACGGGATATTCCAAATTTATTCGTCGGGTCCATAGCAAACGCGCAGCTCGGGACCAAAAAAAAAAAAGACCTTCATGGATGGTATGCCACGTAGAGGGCATCAACCCTAAACACCATGAGGCAAGGAGTTTAGGGTTGATGCCTCCCAAATGGCTTGTCATCCGAGTGGGTTTTAGTTTTTCCAGTGGCCTCATACTGAAACCAGGTAGACTTAGTATATCCCTTCTATGCGTTTGGTCACGAGAAATGGGAGATAGCAACATAAACTGCCCGCGGGAATTGGGCGCTAGCACGGAGAGAGTCGCTGTCAAAGCCACTGCCGAAAGGAATCGAGAACGCGCAAACACGGTGGTCCGTCATTTCCTCCTAAGATACACTACCAGAGTCGCTGCGTTTTGCCTCCCTAGTCGCTCCCCTCGCTCATTCAGCCTCACTTCCCACGCGTCGGACGCCTCGAAAGGGCCGCGTCCATAGGAATAGCCAGAAAGATAGCCTTCGAAAGCCAAGTCTCCCGCTGCCTGATTTAGCTAAGCAAAGTCATTCATGTCGGCACTTCTGGTGCATACTAGCGCGTTCAGACTCTGTCCACGCACTCGTTAATGCGACAATATTTGAGTTGGCGTTTCAGTCCGTACAGACCCAGTTCTCCCAGTTTTGAGGAGCCGAGCTTCTAGTTTTTAAACGACGTATCATACTCGTTTGGTGTGTTTAACCCAGATTTAGAACTGTAACTCTGCATTTGTCTCAGCGTCAGTGTTCTCGGTTTGATATAGGGTGGGAGAATGACGGCAGAGCGCGGGAGTATGTCGAGCAGAAAAAGGATAACGAGAATGAGAACAGACGCACAGCTAGACAGATGGTTAAACGGACGGCCACCCAGACGGCTAAGCGGTCGGCTAAACGGACAGCAATTAACGATGGTCGCAGTGCTGGCGATAGTTGCGTGCTTGCCGGCGATGCAGCTCACCATCGTATCAGCGGCTACTAGCGTCGCCGTGCACTCGTCGCAGAGTGAGTTCGGCTGGTTTGATTCGGATTCGCGACTTAGGAACACTTTCGAGCCGCCTCAAAACTCGCGGCATAGAAACTTATTCCAGTGAACTTGTTTCATGATTAAGTCGGACCTCATGGCGTCGCCGCTTTTGTCGCAAACTACAATCAGAAGCTGGGTCGTGTCGCAAACCATCAGTAAGGATCATGGTTCGTCGCCGAAGCGCCGAAATTACCGACGTCTTGAACTTCAATCAGAAGCTGGGTCGTGACGGAATTGCAAAAGATATAACAATATTGACCTTTGACGTTTTGACAGAATGCGCTGCGACAAGGCTGTATGCTATGCGAAATCGCAAACTCGCGAATATTAGGAGATCCCTGTGCCGAGTCTCGGAGCGGCCATGAGCTACTGCCGTCGCAACCGTCGCACCCGTCGCAAACTGTACCCTCCCTCGTTTCCCGTTCCTTCCGCCTCCCTCCACCACCTTTCCCCCACTTCTCCTCCCCCCCCCCTCCCCCCCCCTTCGCTCCCATCTCTCCCCTCCCTCTCCTCCCCTCTCCTCCCCCTGTTTCCCCCCCTCCTCCTTCCCCCTTCTCCCCCCACTTCGCCTACAGCGGCCGCGATGGAAGCGATAGCTGCCACGTGGCCAACCGCCACGGCCTCGTGGGTGTCCGGGGAGTTGTGTGACACGTGGCTGGGAGTGGTGTGCGACGGCGACGGCTACGTGACGCAGCTGTGAGTCGCACACTGTTAGACATGTGAGTCGGGGTGAGGTGAGCCCCGTCAGCTACATGACGCAGCTGTGAGTCGCACGGGATTCGCCAGGTGGTAGTCGGGGTTAGGCGAGCGGTTCTCGAGGCACCTAAAGAATCCTCGTGGGTGTCTGGGGAGATTTGTGACACGTGTCTGGGAGTGGTGTGCGACGTCGACGGTTATGTGACGCAGCTGTGAGTCGCACGGGCTGTAAGGGTGAGCGGATGAGGGGAAGGGGTGAGCGGTTGAGGGGAAAGGGTGAGCGGTTGAGGGGAAAGGGTGAGCGGTTGAGGGGAAGGGGCGAGCTAGGTAATGGTGGTGATACAACGAGCGGAATAAGGGTAGACAGGGGTGAGAAAATGAAAGGGGTTAGGGATAAGGGTGCAGACGAATGGGAAGGGATGGGAAGGGGTGGTAGCCGCTTGATACAGCCCCCGCTCCGTTCTCTCTGCATCATTCAGCCAGCCGAAAAGGAAAGTTGGTCATCCAATTTAATCTACATTTCCCCCTGAACCTCAACGTTATTGATTCTTTTCTTTGGTCGGTCCCCGCTAGAGTAGTCTTTCAAGCGTGGCATGACTCCCCCTCCCCTTTCCATTCTTCCCCCCTCTTCCCCATCCCCTCCAACCCCCCGTTCTCCCCTCAGTGACCTCAGCGATCAAGATTTGGAGGGAACGATTCCCACCGCTTCGATTGCCTCGCTAGTCACATTAGTAGAACTGTAATTCTTTTTCTTCCTTTCTTTCTTTTGGGGGAGAGGGGAGGGGGGGGGGGCTTGTTACTCTCTGAATTTCAGCGCCTGCACTCT